CACTCTACTTAAGCTACTAGATGTTTCCGGGCTGGATTATGTGTGTCGTCGTTGTGCTGTGGTGCCAAGGAAAAATTATGTATACAGTCCACTAACCGCCTATACAAGCTGTATTACCAGAACTAAAAAAAAAAAAAACTATTCTGTCCAAATAATATGTGCAGTGTCCAAATTCTATCTTATAAGTGTCCGTAGTTCTAATTCATGTGCAAGTTGGAAATTGTTCGTGCTCCTATATATGCAATCGAAAAGTGTTCGTTGTCCGTGATTAATCAAATTTTTGTAATTTAATTCTCTTGTTGTGTATGGGTGGGATGGAGGGTTAAAAGCGAAAGTGTGTGTGTAATTCAGAGAGATTGTAAGAATCGTGTTGTACGACCGTCGTCGCTGTTGAGAACAGAAACCGTGGGAAACCACTTCTGCTTCCGCTCGGCTGGACGCTAGCTGCCAGTCGAGTTCCCGAGCAAGCTGAGGGTATCGACCGGCACCGAAAGCTAATAATCAATACTCATTTTCAAGGTGTCTACTCTATTGACATACCTTTCCGGCCAGAAGATCCAGTTTCAGCTTTAACGCCGATTGCCGCGTCGTAGGACTGACTACCAACATACCCTCGTACCAGCGGCCTTCACAGCTCATTCACTCGCATCCCAGTGCACGGATGTCCTTCGACGTAATAATTTCCAAATGTCTCATCAGCCGCCGTTTATTGATCCTCCGTGATTAGTGTCGTAGAAGGTGACTCAATCCCATACGTCGACCTGTACCTTCACCATTCGCTCAATTGTCTTATTCCCACGCAATGACATCGTAAATGTTGCGTAAAATACCATCAGCAGCCTTCACAAAACAATCCTTCCTATCTTACCCCATCACTGTCCTCTAAGTGCGCCCCCCTTCCAATGATCTCCTCAACAGCAGGTCCACATCATCAACCTCCCACTGCCTCATCAACATCGCGACAACGTCCTGAAACTCGCCAGGCAACCTCAGTCTTAAAACCGTGTCGACATCGAGCCTGCAGGCCTAGATACAGTCGTTGGTGGAAATAGTATTACGTGGACATCGATCCATCTCAAGAGCCACATTGGCGACTCCGGAGTCCTGAACATATCACAACCGGCAACGAAGCAATTTGGGCTCCAAAGACGATGCCTGCTTTATTATACGGTATGTTTCATTCCTCTATTCACTCGCATTATCTGACATATATCAATAAAATCGTATAATATCCAACTTCGCATATCTACCTCGATACACGTCACCCTCATCCCTCTGCTCTCAAGAACACCGCTCCTGAAGGAATGTTTACTATTATATGTTCTTATGAAGCTGCCTGGGCATTCGCGGTGCAAACAGAATCGACAGACGGAAACGGAAACGGTGAAAGAACGGGAGAAGGAGCGGCCGTTGTGGAGCCTCTCAGCGCCGTGCAGCATCGGCGCCGTTAAGGTATGTGTTTAGTTCTTTCGTTTAATGCTGTTGTTCAATATAATGATGGATTGTCTCCGTATGCAGCTATATTCACAATCCTAATTATTGCATGTCCTTTGGGGACACACCTTTGTGAAGGCCTGCACAGCTGGTACCTCCCTGTCATCACATCCTCCACTCAGGTCTCAAGTCTAATCCTTTCTCTCCAAATACGACACCTAACACAACACTTATCCCTCTCCACTATCAAGCAATATTAATGACGAGCTCAACTGTCTTTCGTTCCATCCGTGCACTATTCGAGAATCGATACAGGTTGTGAATGCAATCTGGTGCATTGGATTCGATGAGTTCGAATGATGTCCTCAAGAGCGTTAGTATCACAAAGAAGGACCCAGGCAGCGGCTTGCGGGGATTAGACTTTAGTTTGGCGAGAATGGAAGGAGAGCCGAAGCTGATGAGATGATGAAAGACGGGCATGGACGAAGCGGGAAGCCTCGTTACGAGGTGATGAAGGCTCCTCAGAACAGGATATGGAGACGAGGAGGCAAGCGAATGGATATGCTTTTAAGGCATCGAGGATCTGCATGTGTTACATGTTGGCTGGGATGCTAATTCGAACATCTCAGGCTATCTTGGCGCGCTGATCATTCTGCACGATTCCTATGCATCAGCGTAGTTACAGGTGGAAGCCTAAATACACTGTTTTATCATCCGCCTTGTCCAGCAAGTCCGAATCTGGCGGTGACCAAGTCGACCGTTTCGGATATGCAGCCTCTCGAGTCTCGCGGTGCTCTGCAGAATCAGGATATACTGTTGTTTGCGGATACGACTGCATTGAGGAATGTTGGGAAGTTCGTCACTGCTATGGAATGCAGTTCGTTATTAAGGAGTGGGATTAGGGTGTCGAATGAGATGACTGAGAAGAATATTCCATTCGAGCATTCATCGTTCACGTATTGGCTTCCGAACTCCCCATCGTTGCAGCCGGATATCAAGTCCTTTCTGGGTCGCCGAATACATAATTCCCTTCTCATTCGTTTTCCCGCGATCACCATCACGATAACTCCAATGAAATCAAAGCAACGACGTTTCGATAATATGGCCAACAAGTTTATAACAACGTCGTGACATCAAACTTCCTACGAGCTTCCTTAAGACAGCCCTACCGAGATCAAGATGCATCCGCACGGTGTTATCGAACTTAATCATTCTCTTTGCTGTCGCACAAGATCAAGTGAGCAGGATGCGATAGAATAAGAGGAGACAAGCGAAGTTTATAGACTCGACGGAGGTGTTTCTACTCGTTTTCGAAGTCTCATTGCATCATGTAGCTAAGTTATCCGAACACAAGAAAGGAGTGCCGAGTTAGATTGGAACAGCAAGCCAGGCGAATAATAATCTGAGTACTAGTACATTCAATGGTGTGTAGAATATCTCTACCTTACCCTTTGTCTACTTAGTTTCTTCTCATAGATCGTTCTGAAATAGTGATATGTATCCGTAATGCACCTTATATTTAGACTCCCTTTCGTTTCTATCCCGTCGCATAATACCTCTTCAAAAAATCAAGTATCGTCTACGAATCACCATGTCCTTTCAAATTCTTGCTATATTATTTTACTTAGTAGCCCTCCTGTGATTATAACTCTTTACGTCGAAATATAGGAATTAATGAATGAACCAAACCGTGTCAGCGAAGGATAGCGGTGGGAAAAGGAAAGAAATAAAAATTGGTATTATCGGGATGTTTACCTTTTATCAGTCGGTCTTCGAGTATGATTATTACTCGTTCTGCCTATTTGCGCTTCTATCTTTCAAGACATCTGCATTCTGTTTTACGAGGACACATCAATGATTCAGTTGGCGTGCGGCGTAGTGTACATATGAACTTGATGAGGGAAAGAAATTCAATGATAAGGAGACGAACGGTGCATAGTGAATATTCCGATTTCGAATGACCTCACCCCGTGCACAAGTAAATGTTACCTAGTTAGTCCCGAATGAGTTCTAAAGAGACAGCATTGCAAAGTTCGAATATGCGTGTAAAAATCACCGCATTACTAGCCAAAGAGCAGCCAGAAGTATAACGACAAGATATGCTTCGTTATTATGACAGCGAAGCGAACATGCGTTGATATCGTACTCAAATAGGAAATAATCTACAACAGGTAAGTAAATGTATATGATACAATAAGCTGGGAGTCTACATAAGACGAGTCATTTCAAAAATAAAAAATAAAGATTGAGAAATCACTCGTCGTCTATTTAATAAAGTGATACGACGACATCCAACGTTGCGCCGAATCGTTTTTATGGCGGCGGCTCCGCAACACCAACAATCCTCCGCCGGATGGTTATCTCTAATCTCAAGTCCTTCACATCAGGAGTCGTCCTCACAACAGCCGTGTTATCATTCCTGCATCAATCTATGAGCATCGTATCAAATCGAAGAACGAATAAACATACCTAATCGTCCCCGACAACAGCTTCTCAGCCAACGGATTCGCCACCTTCGTCCTAATAATCCTCGCAATCGCCCTCGCTCCATAAACATCATTATACCCATGCTCCGCCAACCATTCCCTCGCCTTATTATCATAATCCAGCTGCATCCTCCGATCCCTAATCCTCTCCATAGCCTCGTTCAACTCAAGCTTACGATATTCCTACTATTCCTCTTCGGGACGGTTGAACACGATTTGTGCGTCAAGACTGTTGATAAGCTCGGAAAGGAAATGATGGCTGGTCTAAGACAGAGGTTTTTGCCGAGTTGGTGACACTGCGTCTGCGGCGATGGATAAGGGAGATGCGAGGATATCGGAGCCGAGGTTGAAGGTCGCGCAGATGATAGTGTTCTAGATGTGTTATTAGCAGAAAGACGACGTTGCAGACGGTTGGATACACACCTAGAAGTCGACTTTACGCCCTTGACTA